CAAACAAAAAAAACAACAAAAAAAAACTGCCTGGTTTCCTGCCATATGGCAAGTTAAGGAGGGAGGTCAAGTCCAGCAGCCCTACTCTTCCCATACAAAAAGGAAGCATTTGTGCAATACTTGGATGTCAGCTTCTTTCCCAATGTTAGGGGAGGCTTTGTGCTAACCACTGCTGTTCTATCTGGTCCTTGTGTCCCTCTGGCTACTGGGGCAATGATCATCAACAGAGCTTAAGGTCTTGAAAGAAGTTGTTTTTGCTGCAGCTGTTGATCCTTATCTAGAAGCATCATTCTAGCCAACTGGCTCTAATTGAGGAAGCTAAGGAGTTCATTTAGGTAGATCTCAAGCAGGAAGTAGGATGAGATGTAAATCAGTGGGACAGAGGATTTTTTGGTATCATTTAAGTCTAGGAATCAGTCTTGGAGAATGCAGACACAGTTGAAGTGGAAAATAATTGCAAAAGTGATATCAATAAGGGGAATGATCTACATTTGTAGGTTTGCTTTGACAGAAGAGTGGGGTTCCAAATTTTTTTATTGTTTTAAACAGATTTTTTCTCTTTTAAATACATCTACATAGGGAAGAATCTACCCTTTGAGTAAGTTAAATGCTGGCATATGAACTGGTTTGCAAAGTTGAAGAGTGGTTTGCCCATTTCCTACCTCACTTTCCAATTCTGTTTCACATTCAGTGCAATGAATGGTGTGTGTTTGTGCCAAGCAGAGCACACTAACATAGAGCAAGAGTGTTAATGGAAAGAAAAAGAAAAAAATATCAATGAGCAATTTTGCCGCTTTCTTGGAAACAACCCCCAAAACTAGGAGGCCTGGTGCAGTGATTCTTCTTTATTTCATTTAGTTTGAAGTGCAGACAACATGGCTTTCAAAGAGAAGTGTTTTATGTTACCTTTTCAGTCCTAAACAACAATGGCCCCAACATCCCAGGAAACATACATGTTAGGTTTCAAATTTGACATATGAAGTCCTTGTGCAGTCTTCACAGGGTCATTCTCCTGTATGCTGATCATCCTCAGAACAGTCCCTCCCTCACATCTCAGAAATGCTTACAAAGTCTGAAAGAAAGGAAGAAAGTATCCCCTGGAAGTATATGGAGAGTTGAGTCTTGATTGGGCTCTTCCAAGGCCACCTGACAACCATCAGATTTTAAAGGAATAATCCAGTGCCCCTATGACAGTTACAGGTGATCTGTGTAGCAATTAACAGAGAGCTAATAGACACTACACATTCTGAACACAGTTTAGGGAGAGAGGAAGAAGTGGGTACAAACTGCCTGGCCTGAAGCTAGACTGCCAAATCACTAAAACCCACAACTAATGTTTATGCTTTTGCACCTATAAAAAACAGCTTTTACGGCCCTCCCTGGTGGTGCAGCGGGTTAAAGCACTGCACTAAGAAGCTTAAGCCACTTTCACATGAGTTCGATCCCCACCTGCCCCCGAGGAGATCCACATGGCATGGCAGACCTCTCCTGGCCCACTCGCTGCTCCCCTCAGCAGTGTACTTTGTCAGTCTGCCTGTTCTGCTCCCCACTCTGTCCTGGTGAATCCTCTCACCCTCTGCATCTCTGGCCTATACCCCAGTTCTGTATGAATAAATAAGTAAATCTTAAGAAAAAGATTTGCAGTCACTCAAAAGTCTGAGGTCCACTAGCACTAGTCCTTTGTACTTCCGCTCCTCCAGCTCCTCAACTTTCTCCAGTGCCTAGCATTCTAGGTGTTCAAAAGAGATGTATCAAATCACTGAAAAAATAAATGAAATACTTTCCCTTTTGCAAATGATTTCATTTTTGTGATCTATCGCTTCATCAGTAATGTGGAGATGTTACTTTATGCACTTGTTTTGACCAATACCTAACACAGCAGACATTCTACTATGTGTAGAATGTCTTAAAATGCTAATTTTTGTAAGCTATGAGTTAAGCTTTACAAGTTTAATGAATGTTAAGTTTATGAATTCTGAGTTTGCAGATCTGATTCCAGGGGTGGTGTTAAAAATTTAAAAAGTGAAACTTTGGTTGATAAAAGGCGTCATTGTCCAAAGATATAGATATGGTGAGCTGATCATTTTAGGAAACATTTCATCAGTGCTTAGAAAGAAGGAGGGATGGAGAAAGAGAAGTGGGAAGGAATTAAGATTAGAGTGAACATTTTTAAGGTGAGTTGAATTATTACATTGAGGTTAATGTTCTTTTCACATGAAATCACCTCTTTCCAAAAAAGCCAAGGAGGTTGTCCAGGGGAAGAGGGTTAATTTCCTCTTCAGCCTCCTGCAAAATACACCAATCATTAATGAAGGCGGCACAGCCATAGTGTTCATCTCAACCTCTGTGGTCCTTTTTATATTGAAGTCCCTCAATGTTAGAGGGCCTTGCCTGGAAATGTTACCAGTTTTTTCCCTTGGTGGAAAACAAGAAGCTCTCATCAGACTACATGCAACACATGAATGAAGTTATTCTTTGGGCTCCATCCACGGTTATATCAAATATTCACAGAAACATCTTTCCCCAATTCCACAGCTGGAATTCTACTCTCCAGTAGCACAGCCTGATATCGGATGCACAGATTTCGAAAGTAGTCAGGCAGCAGATTTGGCTTCGGAGCTGAGGACGCTGGCTTTTGCAAGAGTCGCTGAGCCTCACCGTCTTGTGTGGTAGTTTCTCTCGGGAGCAAAATGTGTGAAATAAAGAGTTGTGGAAGGCACGAAGAATTAACGAAGTGAAAATCTCGGGTTATTTATTTGGCAATTGACACACAAGTGACCTTCTTAAATACTTAGTTTAAGGAAGTTCAGAGTGAGGATGAATGAATCTTCAGGCGCTTTACTCGCGAGTAAATTTCTTTAGTCTTTCGGGAAGTGACGATAACTTCATACAGATACAGGGGTGAGGAGGATGAAGGAAGTAAAACCACAACGCGGGGGCTTTCTTTTCAGGCCTTTGGAAAGATTGGCTTTTGGGGCCCGGGGCCCTGGAGGTTCCAGGCTGGAGAACTAGGCGGCGCTAGGACCTGCTTGGCTCCAGGCAGCGGCAGTTTTCGGGCGGGCGGAGGAGCAAGAGGAGGAGGAGGGAGAAGTGGGAAAGGAGGGTTGTTAAGGGGGGCGGGGGGAGTCATTTATGCAGAGCAGGCGCTGCTGCCATCGCCACTCGCACGCCTCTCCCGCTGTTCAGAGCCGGAGGAAGCGCTGGGAACTGCTAGCGAGCGCTTGGAGTCAGGGCCAGCAGAGGGGGCGCCCGGCCGCTGCTTACACCGCCGCCTCCGCCGCGCTCGGGGGCTCCGAGAGCAGTGTGGGCAGGTCGGTGAGTCCGACAGCGGAGACTGGCAAGACCCAACCGCCGGAGGGCGTCCGCCGGACTCAGCGGTCTCTTGAACCCGAACCGGGTGCGCCCGCCGACCGCCCCACGGGCCGAGAAAGCAGGGAGCACAAGTCCCCGCAGCTCCCGGGATGGTCTAGGAGCCAGCGCGAGAGTCTGCTCCGCTTGCTGCCGGAGCTAGCCTCCCCCTGCTGATAGCCCAGGACTGCGAATCGCCGCGGCAGGGGGCTGCGCGCCGGGGCTGCCCGGGCCAGAGAAGTTACTTGTGCGCGCCGCTTAGTGCGCTGAGCCAGCGAACCAGCGGGGGAGGCTGCAAAGCTCCGGGGCCATGGGCTGGGGGAGCCGCTGTGGCTGCCCGGGACGGCTGGATCTGCTGTGCTTGCTGGCGCTGCTCGGGGGCTGCCTGCTCCCGGTGTGCCGAACGCGCGTCTACACCAACCACTGGGCAGTCAAAATTACCGGCGGCTTCCCGGAGGCCAACCGCATAGCCAGCAAATACGGATTCATCAATATAGGACAGGTAACAACATGCTGATTCGACCCTTGGCTCTGAAGCTGCCCGGGGAGGAGGGGCGTCCCCCAGGACCTCGCGCTTCTAGTCCCCTCCTCGTCCATTTTCCCCCTCCCCCTCTTCCAGATGTGTTCTGGCAGCTGTTGCCCTCTCTCGGTCTCTCTCTGTGTCTGTGTCTCCATACGCGCGCGGGAGCGCACACAGACACACAAACACACCCTCCCCAAAGTTGCAGGGGTTTGTGTTTTACTTGTGTTTTGTTTTTGCAAGTCACGACAGGTTAGTTTCTGCGGAAAAATCCAGAGTGTGCCTGCCCCTGTGGTGATTTCGGGTCCCATCCGACCTTCTGACGCGGAAAGTCTTGGAGCACTTGAGCTCTTTTGGGGTAGAAGGGGGTGAGCGCGCGCTTGGTACCAGCTTCTTAAGGTTTCTGAGTGCGGGGGATAGGAGAAAGGCAAAGGGAAAGCCTTTCCAGTTTGATCTTGAATTTAGCCCCGAAAGAAGTTTCGTCTTGGACTGGAAGAACCCTGGAGCGCTGGGAGCGCTGAAGGCTGGGGAGTTGGAAGGGAGAAGGAAGGCGGAGAGAGGGAAGAGGAGGCTGGACCCCGTGTAAGCACAGCTTTTGGGGTAGACCTCTCTGCTTCTCGCGCGTGATCTGAGAGGGGATTCCGGAGACCGAGAGGGGGATGGGTAAGAGGAAAAGCCAGGAAACTTCCAAGACCCGCTAACCCAATTCTCCGGAAAACCCGCGAATCTTCTCCGGGAGAGATGTGTGGGCTCCAGGGGCTGCTCCCGGGGGCAAGAGTTGGGCGGGCAGCGGCATACAAGGTTTTTGTGGGTTACAGGTCGAGAACTTTAAGTAGGGCTCATTTCCGTTTGAAAATGCTAATAAATTGAGCGTTATGGGGATGACAGAAAGCGCAACAGATTGGGAAGCACCACGAGACTAAATGTTGTTGGCTGCTTCTATCTCTGCCCCGGCTGTGTAAACGAGCCCTTGAAAGTGCACCCCTACACCCCACTGCCATACCCCTCTCGCAGGCGTCTTCGCCCTGGCGAGACCTGGGGGGTGAGGAGACTGCCCAGTTTGGCGATGCTCTGTCGAGGGTGGGAGGTGATGGGTTGCCCTCACTGCCTATCGCTTTGGGATCTGCTCAGACTGCGCGTGCCTTGCGTGCCATGCCGTGTGAAGGGACAGTATAGCGCCGGCTGGTGTGGCTGGAGCGAGAGAGCTTCTGCAGCTTGATGCTATTGCGCTCCACATCCCGGAGCTTGAGCCATGCAATGCTGGGCATCCTCACCTCCTAGGGAGCGGCTGGAACACCTCAGGAAAAAATTGGGGAGTACCCTAGGGTTCAGAGGCAGAGCCACGGGGGTGCAGAGGGGAGGGTATGTTCTAGAGACCAGAGTCCTGTGGAGGACTTAGATCAGGAGCAGGGTACCAGCCGCTGTATGCACACACACACCAGGCAGGAAGTAAGCCAGCCAGATTTTGTTGCCTGAGTACATGTCATCTTCAGAGTTCCATTGCATGAGCTTAAATTTGGGTTTGCATGTGACCTTAGTAAGTAACTGGGAAGACTAGCAAGGAAAGTCATGCTAATATAATATCTCTTTCCAGAGACGCATCCCTCATGTGCAACTAACATTGAGCATCTTGTGTGTACTTGGCATGGTTGGAAGATTATGTTCTTGAACTTGCACTTTAATCTGCAAACCATCCAGTTTTTGGTGGATAATATTTTCTTTACAACAAGGAGAAAGCTAAATAAGACTCTGGAGAAGTTAACCTGTACAGGGTCACCATCCTAGAATGAATCAAACCTAGGCCAGTCTGTTCCAGGCCTGTTTTTGCAGGAATCTTGCCATTTTAGGGAGAAAGGAATGAGAAAGTAAAAACCCCTTTTTCCGGCACTCGGATTTAGTGGCTCAATAGACTCTAGAAGCAGATACCTAGTCTTAATTAGTAGATACTTAGTTCAAACAGCCTTGGACTTCTTGAATACAAGGAATTTCATGATTTGTAGGAACAGACAGACCTGCATTTAAATGAACTCACTAAATAAAACTTAAGTATTGCAGAACTTGCCAGGGTGTGGGAGGAGAAATTGTTACCTACCTTTGAACAAGCAGACATGCAGATTGTGTCCAACGGCCTAACGTGACTTTTACAAAGGGCTTTCTAATAAAGATCCATGGGTTTTTTTTTTTTCCATTTAAAACAATACTAAGAAAGCTTACAAACCACAACACTAAAAACTATTTATTGTGGCTTTTACAATGCCAAGGAGGAAATTTAGTGCTTACAGAGGTTACAGAGACCCCTTGAATTGATGAGCCATAACCAGGGTAAAAAGATCAGCTATTCTTACAGTGTAAAGCATTTCCTCTGTAGATCAAAGGAGTGTAACCCTATGCTATGGCTTTGGGATGGTAAGTTGAGTTCACACATGCACTTATCATTGCACTGTAAGGGCCAAATGTATTTCTTATTTACCGTTTATTGCTCTGACCTTTTAACACTTTAGACGTCCTTTTGTTATTCTTTCTTTTCATCAGTAAACCAGCTGTGGTTCAGTTAAGGGCAGTAACTAATTTGCAGATATCTCTGGAATGTTCTCCTGTTTTTAACCTTTTGGGATTGCGGTCCCATCTCATGTGTCACAAATTGGAACTGAACCTTTATTAGTTTCTGAAATCACTTGATATCTTGGTAGTGCTTTTGTTATTTTCTATCTAATATTTTAGGGGAATAAGTTACTGAATTTTCACCATGGTAGAGATACAGTTTTGACTAACTGCTTAGAATTTCAGTGTAATGTTTTATATAGCAGCTTAGCGTTTGAAAGTCACCAGTGGTGAAATTTCTGGCCTAGAGATTTCTATAGAAAAGCTAAGGCGTGTCTCTTCTGCTCACGAGAGATAGGATGTGCAGGCTAACAGAAGAGCAAGCAAACAGGCAAAAAGGACATGCTTGACATCCTGGAAGGGAACACTGAATGTGGATTTTCTTGACTTGGGTTATAGAGCTAGTGTTAGATGTTGGTAGACTTTCATGTAATGTTTACATTGTGTGAGTGTCTGTGTCTTGACGTTCAGAAATGATGTCATATTTTTCAGTAGCAGTTGTCCTGTCAGCATAATTATTTTGCTTGATATTAGTGTCAACTGTAGTATGTGATATTTCACCTCCAATTCTCTCTCACATCCTCTTAATGTCTAGAAGCACCAACACCTGCTGGGCTGGCTGGGGGCAGGTGTACCTGCTCACTGGCCCACGTGGGGGTGGATGGAGCTTTGATCTTCCTGACTAATAACTGTGTTTTGATCCTTTGAGCTAACAGTGTGTGGCTGAAGGATAGAAATGACACAAAAGTGTAACACTTGACGTAATGTTAATTGTAAATCTCTGGGATTACTCTACTGAACGGGAGGAACTGATTTCTGTTTATTTGGCCCTAAGGGGTAGGGTTGACAGTGTGTTTGCAGTACACAAAAGTTGCATTTGTTCTTCTAGTTCTTCTTATAATCCTTGATTCCAAACTGAGATTATAAGTACCGAATACTCCTCTCCAAACCATGTAAGTTATCTTAAGCAAGATTCCAAAAAGATAAAACCGAAGGCAAGAAATACTAGGAAAATATTTTACCCAGAGTTCCCATTGAAAACATAGCTGGAAAACTCCAGAGACACCACTTGCAAGGTCTGTGAAAGCAGGAAAGTCATTGAACTTAGTGAGGCCCCATTCCTCCTTCTGTAAAGTGATAAATCTCTATATAACAGTGTGAGTTGACTATGCAATACTCTGCACATAGTTAGGCTTGCAGAAGTTTTGTTGAAATTCAGTCTGAAATCAGACTTTAGATAAGGAGAAATGAAGACATTTTTATAATGGAGGATGCAAAATGTGAAGATCAGGAAAATAAATTTTCGATGACGGAGTGAAAAGAGCCAAATAAAACCTTTGTAGATGAAGGAACATGGTTTTCCATTTCAACTGACAATTTAAAATAGGTTTAAAATAGTTTTCTGTTGGATTCTGGCTGATTTCCCATGGCAGTACCCTCCTCTTTCCTTGATATTTGTGGTCCATTACATATTATAGAATAAGCTTGCTGGAGATGAAATACTGGGAAGGAAAATAATCTGAAGACTGATTATTTTATATAAAGCCTTTTACATTGGTATATTACATTCAATTTATTTGAATCTATATTTTGCTGAGCCTGAATATACTTGTATGAGGAAAGTTAGAAGAAACATTTTCCAAGTGACAATGAAGAGATACTTTAGCAGGGTGAACCTTGTTTAGAAATATCCTGAAGTCCCCCTGCTGTTGGTTAATTTTGACCTCTGAGTAATGTAGGGAGCTTGAAATGTTGATCCAAAATGGAGAGTAAGTTCTGGGTGCACATGGGTGGCACTGAAAGCAGGGGACTTGGCTAGTTTGCTGGCTGCATGGGTGTGGACTGTGCTTCCTGAGTAAATCCTTAGGCATTTTGGAAATAGAAAAGCAAACTGATGTGGGAGTCCCAGACTGACTCCTGGTGCTACATCTGGTTTTGCAAAGGACAGCTCTTCACGCCTGAGAACCTCAGCCCGACCTCTGTTCTCCACTCTCACAGGCACCGTTCTCATGAGCAGGGGAACCTTCACTGGAAAAAACAATTCACTCTTGGCCTCTTCCTGGTGGGTCTGTTGCATTAACCTCATAGACAAGGAATGGCTTGTATGTGGCCATTGGGATTTTGGGGGACTATTTGAAATGAAAAATTGCATTTTATGAGTCCAAAGGCAGCAGAATGTGTCTTATCACTATCTGTCATGAGCTTATATCCAGAGGTCCTAACCTTAAAGGTCAGCCAGAGAAGCAGGGTAGTGTGCTGGGAAAATGTCCAGCCATGTCTGAATCTTTGGTTAAGGGAGAGAGTCTTGACCCAGAAACATCCCCTGGGCAGGGAGGAGTATTTGTGTTGAGGTTCAAGTTATGTGAAGTAGTGTCTGGGCT